GATCCTGGGATCATGACCTGAGCCGAAGGCAGACGCTTAGTGACTGAGCCACCCAGGTGCCCCGATTTGGTATTTTTTAAAAAGATTTTATTTATTTATTTGAGACAGAGAGAGAGAGAGAGCATGAGCTGATGAAAGGGCAGAGGGACAAGCAGACTTCCTGCTGAGCAGGGAGCCTGACGTGGGGCTCAATCCCAGGACTCATGACCTGAGCTGAAGACAGACGCTTAACCCACTGGGCCACCCAGGAGCCCCTGATCTGGCATTTGTATACATTGTGAAACGATCACCACAATGTCTAGTTGACCTTTGTCAACTATACATAGTTATAGAACTTTTTTCTTGTGATAAGAACTTTTAAGATTTACTCTCTCAGCAACTTTAAAAATAGGCAATATAGCATTATTAGCTATAGTCACGATGCTGTACATGACATCCCCATGATTTATTTATTTTATAACTGGAAGCTTCTATCTTCTGACCACTTTCACCTATTTTGCCCACTCTCCAAACCCTTGCCTCTGGCAACCATCAGTCTGTTCTCTGTATCCATGACTTTGGTTTTGTTTGTTTTAGATTCCATTTATAATTGGGATCATATGGTGTTTGTCTTTCTCCGACTTATTTCACTTAGCATGATGTCCTCAAGGTCCACCCATTTGTTGCAAATGGCAAGATCTTATTCTTCTTCATGGCTGAATAATAGTCCACTGTGGTTATCTACCTACCTACCTACCTACCTACCTACCTATCTATATCTCTGTCTATATGTTATGTTATATAAAATATATATTGCTATATATAACACAGATGTAGAAAAAATGTGATATATATATCATACATTAATGATATAGATCCATATGTATCTATTCATCCACCGATGGACACCATATCTTGGCTATTGTAAATAACGCTGCAATAAACATGAGAGTGCATCTATTTTTTCAAATGAGTGTTTTCGTTGTCTTTGGATAAATACCCAGAAGTAGAATTGCAGCATCATATAGTAGTTCTAATTTTAATTTTTTGAGGAACCTCCGCACTGTTTTCCATAGTGGCTACAGTGATTTACCTTCCCACCAACAGGGCATGAGGGTTCCCTTTTCTCCATATCCTCACTTGTTATTTCTCCATATACCAACACTTGTTATTTCTTGTCTTTCTGATAATAGCCATTCTCACATGTACTTACGTGGTTTTCATTTGCATTTCCCTGATGATCAGTGATGTTGAGCATCTTTTCATGTATCTGTTGGACATTTTTATGTCTTCTTTGGAAAAATGTCTATACAGATCCTCTGCCCATTGTTTTTATTTTTTTTCTTTTTAGTTGTAGGAATTCTTTATATATTTTGGATATTACCCCCATATCAGATATATGATTTGCAGATACTTTCTCCCACTCAGTAGGTTGCCTTAAAGTAATATTAATAAAAAAGGAGTGGGGAGCAAACCCAGATGGAGCATGCAGGGAGCATAAGGATGCTGTTCTGCTCTTAAGTGTGGTCTGCAGTGCTTTTGTAAGCAACCCCAGACTGCTCCACTAGACCCTAAATTCTTGGAGGGCAAGGCTGGTGGCTCTGTCCCTATGTGTTCTCCCCAGTGCCCAGAGATTGTAGTGCTAAGAGCACCTTGATGACTAGGCAGCAGTGGCCTTAGACAGACCATGGACTTTGACATGGGACAGGTTCTTGAGTCCTGCCTCTGGACTAGCTGCGTCCCTCCATAATCTGTGCTTTTGCTTCTTCATCTGCAAAACGGCTGCAGCTGTTTGCCTCATTGGAAACAATTTGCACCAGGGAAGGAGACTCAGTGTTGTTTTTTTTTTTTAAGTAAGTGATGTGTTATTGGGACAAAATGTGAGTTCATACATGCTGTTGCCCTTAGACACCCAGTCCCCTTTCCCCTGACCATGAGATGTCCTTGCCCGACAGTCCAAGAGGACTATTTAGAATTGTCTCCTTATGCCGATATTAAAAAGATACATACCGCAAGTATCTGGGTTCAGGAACGACTAGTTGAGAGCATGTAGTGGCCGAGTTACCTGTACCAGCTCTTGGGCTTTCCAGTGTGTGCACGTGTGTTTAGGGAGTAGAGTTTACTTGGTAAGCCTGCAGTTTACGAGGAGGCTAAATCATCTAGATGGAAAACCTGGTTCTGTTACTAACTGGGCAGATTCTTGAACTTTTGCTGGCCTCGGTTTCCTCAGTTGTAAAATGAGGATAGTGCTCATCACATAGGGTTGCTCTGAGGATGAGTAAGACAGTCCGTGCAACATACCTAGAGTAGAGGCCAGTGGAGAATAAGTCCTGTTATCATTCGAGGAATTTTAAGTCCACTTACATTTCCCATTGGTGATGTGTTGTAAAGTCTTTAATCTTGGTTGTAAAATCTTACATCTTTTAAGGAGCACTGCTGTAGGTCTTCTGGTTGCTCTGCTGAGCAGGAGCTCGGTGGTTCCTATTATAACCATATGCTGTCTTTACAATGCACCATGTCTTAGGTCCACACGTACTTTCTGTAATCCAGCCACTTCAGAAGAGCCAGAGAGAAGACTTTAGTCCCCATTAAAAACATCTATCTAGTGTTTACCATGTGCCAGACAGTTCTGGGTACTGGGATGTTGTGGAGAATGATGATACGTCCCCTGTAAGGGTACTGCACCCCAAAGTACAAAACTGGCCAGGACTTATACTGGATGTACCTGTGTAGAGTGGAGTTTCATTCATGTTACAGATTTACACAAAGAGTGCATTTTATACTTCCATCCCAATATAGAAGTTACCCATGAGGTGTGATGAAAATGTCTGAATTTCCTTCCCTCATCTTTTAGCAATATATTTTACCTTTTCAACAAGGCAAAAGAGTAATATTTAGCATATCAGACAGATAATAAACACTCACGAAACTACATTGTGTTCTCGACAGATAGCATCTTTTTTCGATTAAGTTAGTAAAATATACATAATTATTTATCCTGAGAAGTGGCACAGGCTGAAAAATATAAACACATTCACGAAAAATACGGAGGAAAAATAAGCAGTGGTTGATCATGGGGTAATTTAGGAGAGCGGAGGATATACCCAGTGTGGCAGGCTAAATAATGCCCCCAAAGATTTGTTCACATCCTAATTCCCATATGGAAGGAAGTCTTTGCACAGGTGATTATGTGAAGGATTTTGAGACGGGGATTATCCCAGATTATCTGGGTGGATCCTAAATACAATCACATATATCCTCATAAGAGGGACACAGATGGAAATTTGAGCACACCCAGAGGAGAAGGTGATGTGGAGATGAAGCAGAGAGATTTAAAGTTGCTGGCCTCAAAGACTGGAGTGATGTGGCCACAAGCCTACAAATGCTGGCGGCCACCCAAAACCGGAAGGGGCAAGGAAAGATTCTCCCCTAGAGCCTCCAGAGGGAATGTGGCCCTGCTGATGCCTTGATTTTGGTCCAGTGATACCAATGTTGGACTCCTGGCCTCTAGAACTGTGAGAGAATCCATTTCTGGTGTTTAGAGCTACACAGCTTATGGTAACTTGTTACAAGAGCCACAGGAAACTAATACACCCAGTCATTTTAGATTAATGACGGAAGGACACTACTAGCTACTCTGTCAACCACGTCTTGGCATGATCACCTACTATATGTCACCGTGTTGCTTCTAACCTGATGTTCCTTTATTTTCCTTTGCATTCTATTGAATGCCAGATGGCATAGAGATTATTTTTTTAAATTTTTGATTTGTATGTCAGTGTTTTAATTGTGGATGGAATGGTGGCATCTCTCATCTCTCTCTCTCTCTTTTTTTTTGCAGATATTCCTGATAATTTTAATGCATGGATCGTGTTGCAACGCATTGATTTAGGTAAGAGATGGAAAGTCTCATGTCTGCTTTGATCCACAGCAGAGTCCACTATTTTAGTAACATGCATAGGAGTATCTTCCAGATCTAGGGTCTCTTTCCCTTGAATGATAGCAGAAAAAAGCAAATGCCTGAGGTTTGATTTTTTTTTCCCCCCTTAGGCTCTGTGCTGACCCTGTCACTTTTTAAGGCCTTGATGAAATTTACTCTGATGAAGTTATCTTGGTGTTTTTTAACTATACCTGACTAGCTAATTGGCTACATCATCCCTCTGCAATATTAACACGGTATATGTTACATACATCATGTTTTCTTAAGATTAAACCCCAGTTACATAAAAGAACTTGCACACCTGCCTCTAATTTAATGTCTATTCTTGAGGGTGGATCCTTTCCACGCAGGCCTAATGTTACCCATTACATTTTGATTCTTCCCGATTTCATTCTTGGGCTTAAGTTTTTCTTGAAGTGCTCAGACCACCCATATGCGAGAACCCCCAACTCCCTCTCCCTGACTCCAGGCTCCTTTCCAACTGCCCGCAAGGCATCTCCAATCCAACGCCGTCCTCCTCCACGACAGCATTTACTCCTAGCCACCCGCGCCATCTACTTGCTCCCTCGTTTGTGAATAGTTAGGTTCCACCAGGACAAGGCCAAGGTCGGGTTCTGGGCCTGACGGAGCTGCGGCACCTGGAACAGTGCTAGGCACATGGTGAGCGGGCAGTATATACTTGCTCGCAATGAATAAGCAAATAGTTCCAGGTGTGTCTGCCCTCTTGGCGCTTGAGCTTTCTGGGTGATGTTAGACTGGTCCTTATGAGATGAGCCAAGACCGGGATCTGTGTGTGACAGGAACTCAGCGATGGGCCCATTTTTCTTCTCCCTCTAAAGGCTGCGGATCCCTGCGGTAACTTTCAATCGCGCAAAATTCCAACCCCTCGGGGCGGCCAGACCGCTCGTGGCGAGCCGCGGGCGCTGGCCGCCGGGGTCCGCGGGGTCCCCCGCCAGTGCGGCCGGGCCAGCGCGGGTCCGAAGGGCGCTGCGGGGCGTGCGCGGCCCGGGGTCGCGGCCCTCGGCGACGGCGCGGGCGGTGCGGGCTCCCGGGGCCGCCGCCGCCCGACGTCACTTCCGACCGGAGCCAAGATGGCGTCGGCGCGGCCGCGGACGCCGGGGCGGGCGGAGCGGCGGCAGCGGCGGCGCGGGCGGCGGCTCTCGGCGCTCTGCGGCGCAGGTACGGGGCGGCCGGGACGGGCGGCTTCCGGGACGGCGGCGGGCTCGGCGCCGGGGCGCCCGTCTCTGCCCGCGAAGAGCGACGAGGCGGCGGCGGCGGCGGGGGCGCCCCGTGGGGACCGGGCGCGCAGGGCCGGGCGGGCCGGCGGACGCGCCCCCTCCGCGGACCCGGCGTCCCGGGCCGGGGGGGCCCCGGGGCTCCGCGCTCCTCCCTCCCGCGCCCGCGGCGAGGTGGTGCGGCTCGCTTTGTGGCCGTTGGCTCGCCGCGCGCCCCGCCAGGGGGAACGCGTGTGCGCGGCGGCGCCGGGCGGCGGCCGCAAGTCCGCCCGGGACCCGCGTCCCCGGACGGCGAAGGCGCACGCGGGGTCCCAGGGCCGCGCCGGTTGCCAGTCGTTTTGCTTTTCTCTTTTGTGTTCAACGCCCGTGTGCCTTTCACACTTGCGTTCTCAGTTCGTTTTGTGTCTTGTGCCTTTGTGTTTCCTAAATAGTTTTTGTGTGATTTAAGCCCGGGAATCGTCTCCTTCGGTGTTCCTGTCGCGGACCCACCGGTGTTTTTGTTTTTAACAGACGTGCACTTACGTTAATTTTGCCGCTAAAGATTATCCACGAACCTGCTTTTGAGACGCGAAGTACCCCTTACAGGTCAAGGATATGCCCAGACCTCGGTGCTTCCCTCCGACCCACGCGTGAACCGCGGAACCACGACTGGCCCACTTCTGTCGGGCTGTGAGCTTCGGGAACAACCCCGCGATTTAACCGGGAAGCCCAAATTCCTGTAACTGCGCGGCTGTAATTTCCCCCGAGGAAGGGGATTCGTGCCGGCCCCTCATTTTCCATTCAGTGTTGCATTGGGGTTTTGGTTTTATTTCGTAAGTGGAACGCCCTTTGGTGAATTCCAGTAGGTCTTTGGGCCCCTTTAATCAGACACTGAAATGGTCGCACCCAGAACACGACTAAAATATTTCGTAAAGTTTTTGTTTATTACAGGTTTATTGTTAAAAGCTACGATAAACGTTGAACAAGAAGCACAGCCTTTCAGTGAATCTTTTACCTCCCATACCAGACTTCCTATCCCATCAGTTATGGCCAAGTATTGGGAAAATGTGGGCTTTCGACATTTTTTTTTTTTTAACACGTTATGAAATTTGTTGTACAAATATTGAGGAGGAACTGAGACACATAATCATGTTCTTTTTTCGAGGGTCTTGTTTTTGAGATGGCTCGCAGCTGCCCCATCATTCTCTAGAAGCTTCCTTACAAACACTTATTCAACCATATTCATGTGTAGAATCTCATTGTAGCCTGGAGAGGACCTTTAAAGATCATCTTATTAAACCCCCTCATTTCAGTCTGTAGCAACTGAGATTGAAATTCATAGTGAGACTAAGATGGTTCACAGCTTCTGTTATTCCAGGGCTCTTTTTTCGTATCTTTTTTGGTTTGATTTAAATAAGTTAGGGGCGCCTGGGTAGCTCAGATGGTTAAGCGTCTGCCTTCGGCTCAGGTCATGATCCTGGGGTACTGGGATCGAGTCCCACATCGGGCTCCTGGCTCAGCGGGGAGCCTGCTTCTCCCTCTGACCCTCTCCCCTCTCATGCTGTTTCTCTCTCCCTCGCTCTCTAAAAAATAAATTAAAAAATCTTAAAAAAAAAAAAAAATAAGTTAATACATTCGAAGCGTTTAGAAAAATACCAGGCACATAATAATAACACTCAGTGAAAGCTTGCTTTTGTTGATTCTGAAGGTGGTTTCTTTAATTGAAAAGTTGGCGTATTCGGATTTGTTTTTTCTCATTTTGTGGACAGTTCCTGAAACCATATGGTTTAAATTTTATTTGTAATAATCTGTTCGTTTTGTGCGTACAAAACATAAATGATTCTCACTGTAGGACAATATGAACATAGAGAAAAGCACAGAGAAGGAAGAGGAATCAGCCCTAAGCTTCCCACTCCTCAGATAACCACTGTTAACATTTTGGCATACCTCCTTCACCTTCCTGTCTCTCTTGTTGTGCATGTGTGTATTTCTTGTATATATTTATTCACTTCTATGTATTTACGTTTTATATAGGATTGATATCATTGTGTATATTATTCATAATCTGTCTTCTTACTATATTGGGAGCATATATTCATGCCATTAAGTATTCAATATGATTTTTAGTGGCTGTGTAATATATGGGTGGGCCATTATTTATCAATTCCATATTGATCGGTAAGGTTTCTATAGCCTGAGAATCTCTTTTCATTAAGATTTGTTTAGGTTTTTCTATTGTGAATTTTAAAGTTTTGTGTTTTTTAAAAAAAAAATCGTGAAAATGTAAATTCTGTCTTTTAGCCTCTAAATATGTATTTTTCCTGCCAATGCAGTTATAAGAAGCAGCAGTCAATTTCAGCTTCCTTTTATTCTCTTCTCCCTGAGCCGGGTCTGTGCAGTTCCACATATATATCTGCACACATATTCTTTTGATGATTATTTTACGTTAGATGTTTATTTATTCATGGGACTGTTTCTTTACGCTGCCGATCTCTTTTCAAGTTCCAGATCTGATTTGCAAACCTTTTAAGTCCTGTTAAATCATAGACTTTCCGGGATGGAAAGCACCTTAGGTTATTTACTATTTTCATTTCTTCCAACTTGCTTTTCATGCTATTTTTAATACCCAGGCAGAGGAAAAAAAAGCCTATGGGCTGCCCGAGAAAACTCCTTAGTGGGAGTGAAAAGGGAGTAGGTGGACAGTGGGGGAAAATTGTCAAACTTGTGTGGCGATGTGTAGATAATGGGGAGTTTCCAGATGATGGGGACATTACCTGACAGTCATTACTACTGATACTCTTGACTTGTGGCCAGCACTCTGTGGTTTGCATGGTGCCCATCAGTTACGCTGTCACTCCTCCTAGCATTTGGTTAGAGGTTTGGCGCTCTCCTTTTGAAGTTAGAAGTTTATATATAATTAGAGCCACTAAAATCATCTTCCTAGAGCAACTGAAAGCTATTGACTCCGTTACTGAAAGCATTACTTAGGTTCCATTAAAGCAGGATTTCTTAACCTTGGCACGATTGACATTTGGGGCTGGATAATTCTTTGTTTGGGGGGCTATCCTGTACACTGCAGGATATTTGGCAGCATCCCTGATCTCTACCTGTGAGATGCCAGTAACACTCCCCCACCATCTGCACAACTGATAAAGTCTCCAGACATTGCCAAATGTCCCTTGGTGGGGACCGGGTTCTCAACCACTGCATTCAAGGAAAGCCCATCTGACCGGATGGTGCAATCAGTGGAATATGGAATCTCTATAGTCAACTGTAAGAACAGCCTCTCTGGTTTACAGGAAGTCCACCTTGAAGGGGGGGAATGGATTTAACTGGCCTGTGGCAGTCCCTTCCTGTGTGTGTCTTTATGATCTTGTTGAATGGTTTACTTTCAGCAGTTCTATGGCAAGAGATAAAGCAATTTGAGATAACCTGGAGACTACGAAGGAGTTTTCATGGCATAGGATCAACATTCCCTGTATTTGGTTAAATTATTATGGATTTAAATAAATTTGTATAGAGTTGATGCATGGTGAATCATGTAAGCTTGTGGTCTATTATACTTGAATGGCACAGAAACAACTGTCTTCTAGAAAATGAGACTCAGTGAAGCAACCCCTTGAAGATTGATGGTAGAGGCCAGATTAGTTTTTCTAAGATCTTTTTTCTTTTCTTTTCTCTTTTCTTTCTTTTCTTTCCTTCTTTCTTTCCTTCCTTCCTTCCTTCCTACCTACCTACCTACCTACCTACCTACCTACAACCAATTCAGGGTTATGCACTGAAAGTGATGAATTTGTCTTGAGGAAATAGTTTACTTTTGAAGTGCTTATCTACTTTAGCTTATTACTTTATAACTTAAAGATCACTATTGATCTTATGGCATACATGTATCATAAACGCAATTTCCCCTGGGTGAAGAAAGTGTAGGTTGTCAAATCTTACTTTGTAGTCTTTAAAAGTATAGATAGTGTAGATTGAATTTTTATTGTGGCATAAGTGATCTTTAATTAGAATTTAGTGATAAGTAGAACATAAGAAAAGAGATGTGCTGTTGGACCACATTTGGTAATGGGGTGGCTTTCTCAATTACGGACGGAATACTTGCATAATTTAACTGGAATGAATGCATGTGTCATTTAAATATTCTTTCTTAAAGGGAATGCCTTTCATTCCCCACCCCCACTTCCCTGAAGCGTGAATTAGTTATTGTATGTAGTAAATCTGGTTCATTTGGAGTGAAATATGCTTATAATATTTTTCTCAGTACTGCATAGTATTTATTCTTAGAGTCTTGGTTCAAGTCATATCTATGCTGTGTTTCATTTATTAGTCTTTTGGAACATGCAATAAAGGAAGTTTCACTGAATTACTTATATATTTGCCAGCCATTTTGGTGAAAAGAGTATTTTGTAGCTCTTGCAATAAATCGTCTGATAGGCTTTGCTTTGAAAGAGCTAAATTACTTCTTGGCACAGCTTGCCTGAAATATGTAAAGCTACGTGCAACTGTTAGTTTGATTACTGTGGGCAGCCTGTCTGGGAATTGGTAAAACCTACAGCTTTTACATGTGCATATAAGACTACATTAAATTCCGGTGGGAAAACTCGATGGCATTTTCAAGTAATTTAAATGATGCTGTTAAAATTGAAAAGAAATCTGAGATTCACTGAAACCTTACATACTTCGAGTATGAATCCTGCGCATTACCCAAGGGGTTATTAAGACAGTATAATTTAAGCATAATTTGGAGTAACAGTATAAATATGACATTCTAAACGTTTCTCACTCTGTGAGGCTTATTTTAGGGACTTTGCTGTAATTCCGAAAGACCTTAGTTGTAAAGTACATCTGAAAATGGAAGTTTTAAGAAGGGGGTCTTTGGGATAAATTTAGATTTTTAATTGTGAAGCTCTGTTACCATTTGTTAGAGGATGTTGAGCGAGTCAGTTTACCTGTTTTGGGAGG